GACTGAATTCAAAGGAAATCAAACATACGTGTGAGAGTGTGAGCTGAGGCTGTTTAAGTACAAAGATCTGTCTATACAAGCACTTCTCCACTTACTTCCTGCATTTGAAATGACAAACTTCCTGTTTCTAGACAAAAGCAGCACCTAGCAGTGAAATACGATCGAACATAAGACTAAACAAATGTTTGAAAGGCTTCTTCGAGACAGTCTGTCCCGTTAATGTTCACATAGATGGGAATGACATATTTCCTGACCTTTGACACCTGAAACTGAAACGTCTCAAAACTGTGGTGTTTTTAAACGATTAACTTTTCCCCATGTCTCCCATTTGTCTCTTTGTGTCTGTCTGTCGATCTGTCTCTGTGCAGTCCACCTGAAGCGTCACTTTATGTTTAGGAACCATCTCTGTTTGGTGTTTGAGTTGTTGAGCTACAACCTGTACGATCTGCTGAGGAACACCAATTTCAGAGGAGTTTCCCTCAACCTCACCAGGAAATTTGCACAGCAGCTCTGTACAGGTGGGTGCAAGTAGAGCTGGGACAACACGTGCAGCTGCGACACTGAGCGTTTGTACTTGTGATTCCACAAAAGGTGCTGGAAGCATGTGTGATAGTCGTAGATCAAACAAACGAAGCGCTGACCGTGAACGGCTGAACCAATCACGGCGAGCGTTTTAAAACTGAGCACACAGCTGGCACAAAGTAACAATAACACGTTTGAATAAAAGGTTGTAAATGTTGTGTGGTTGGCAGCACGGCGCTGACGAGCCTCACAAGGAGACGGTCCTCAGTTTGAGTTTGCATGTTCTCCCCGTTCTCGCGTGTGCTCTCTCCGCTGCTCCGGCTTCCCCCCACAGGCCAAACACTTGCAGTTAGTGGGGGTGGGTTAGTGGCCTCACCCTGCACCTTCAGCTCTGCTCTTAAGGATGGAAGCAGCTGCTGCTGTTTCCATGTTTGTTCTTACAGGGAATAAAAGATGTTAAACAGTTGAGTTGTTCGTGTGCAGTGAGGCAGGAGTCTGAATACTTTTACTGATCGATATGTAAACACTGGTAATCATTTAGAAATGTGCAGTAGATGCAGGTTTGATGCTGATGATGTGCGCTTGTTTAGACTACACGTGTCTTTGCATGATGTTGTTGACAGATGTTGGTGTTTTGTCCACAGCACTATTATTCCTGGCCACTCCGGAGCTGTCAATCATCCACTGCGACCTGAAACCAGAGAACATACTGCTGTGTAACCCCAAGAGATCAGCCATCAAAATAGTTGATTTTGGATCCTCCTGCCAGCTCGGACAGAGAGTGAGCACAGATACGATTCTTTATAAACACTCACCTGCTGTTTACTTACGCCCCGTTACTCTCAGCGTTCAGATTTGGGAAATATAGCATGTAGCGCTGCTTGCACGACGGCAGAATAATTAGGACTGTTGGCTCATTATAAGAGGTTTCCTAGTTTTTCCATGTTTCCCTTCTGCCTGTGTGGGTTTCCTCCCACTGCCCAAAGACAGGTTAGGTTAGCTGTAGTGGGAATGGAGAAGAGGCACAGCTGTCATCATCTCATCGGCATGAATGTCACGGGAATTTTGGGCTTTTTTTAAATTTTGATGGAATAATTGTGCAATAGTGCAGCTTGGACAACAAACCTGAAGTTTGATCCACACAAGGCTCAAAGGTTTCCATACAGGGACAAAAATAAACAGATTCAGTCTTTAAGAAGTGCTACTCTGCACTGTCTTCTTGTTAATCATGGACAGTTAGCTTCTCTGTATTGTCACCATGACATTCATGCCTGCTCTGACCAAACTCTGGATAATGTGCTTAAAGTGTACAGAGTAAAGCAGGCTATGAATGTGTGGTCAAACGTGATGTTAAATAGCTACATTGTAAAGTCTTGATGTCAGATCGCTAAACTCCACTTCCTTCTCAGATCTATCAGTACATCCAGAGCAGGTTTTACCGCTCTCCCGAGGTTCTGTTGGGAATGCCGTATGACCTGGCTATCGACATGTGGTCTCTGGGATGCATCCTGGTGGAGATGCACACGGGGGAGCCTCTCTTCAGCGGCTCCAATGAGGTAACAGCAACACCAGCGTGACACACGTGTCGGGTAGTGTCGGTGATATCCTTCATCCGTGCTCAGTGTTTTATGCTACATCCATTTAGATGTGTTAGCAAGCCAGCGTAGAGAGGACGCGATCGTTACGATGACACAGAAAGTCTCTTCCAGTCTACTCTGAGTTCCTTTGAGATTGTACTGAGAAGACCGCATGTGTTTGCAACAGCAACATTAAGTGTGTGTGTGTGTGCGTGTGTGTGTGTGTGTGTGTGTGTGTGTGTGTGTGTGTGTGTGTGTGTGTGTGTGTGTAGGTTGACCAGATGAATAAAATCGTGGAGGTTCTGGGAGTTCCACCCAGCCACATGCTGGATGCAGCTCCTAAAGCCAGGAAGTATTTTGACAAGCTGTCAGATGGTCTGTGGACAGTGAAGAAGAACAAGGATGTCAAGAAGGTAAAGTTTGCTTCTGTTTTGA